TCCGGATTTCGGATTTAAAAATCCGAGATTTGGGTTTACTATTTGATACTATTGCAAATGCCTGTGTTCGAATCATATAACTTGCATTACACCACTTTTTTGTAATGATGTGCATCATTCGACTGTTAAAGACGGCACAAATATTTTATTATGTATACAATATATATTTTTAAATTCTTTCAAATAAATAACGGTATCTTCGATACCCGCACGAACGACACGGGTCGAACAATAGTAGTATTGACATCCCTACATTAAAAGGACAGGCCCAAGGTCCATGCCGCCGCGTGTGCCTATATAACAGGGACACACACTCAGAGTCCTTAATCTTAGATCGTCAGTGCATGCGCACCGATCATAAGATCAACGGCGAGCGATTTGCATATTTACATACGCGATTTGTTTTGAATCATTCAAGTTTAACTCAAATAAAAGAAAAAAAAATATTGAATCTGTTCGACTTGCGTTCTTCGTACGAGTGTTGAAGAATACCCAGTTCTGGTGCCATTAAAATTTGCATTTGTTCTTTCTTGTTCAACCTCACGTCGACATCAGAAGTTCTACGGCGAACAGGTAAGTGCTATTTTATTTAGCTTGGCAGACTGCACAATTGCACTGATCGGCTCTCGAACCTTCTCAACCCCGAGAGCCCTCCCTTAAACAAGGAGGAAGGTAATAACCCATCGCATCACACCTACCACACCTATATACCTACTTTATTTTTTTTTGTACTTTTGGGTTATTACATTTTAGTCGTTATTTTAATTCTCGAACAAGATGATGGTGGCCTATAAAGATATCTTAGTAACTGGTAAAAACTTTAAGTCTTACGTACCATTATTTTTGGAGATACAACTAATAATAACTAAAATATATTTTATGATATCCGACTTATGTATTTAATATTACACAAAACTTGTATATGAGATTCTTAATTAGGTTAGGTAGGTCAAAATAGCTTTTAATTTTGAAAATGTTTAATTATGTTGTATTTACTATAAATAATTCTTGAATGAATACTTTCAATGTTCTGAAATCCGGATTATTTTCATCACTAATCGAAACCCATACAGAAAGCAGTGCACACAGCGCCGAGCGTTGACGCGAACGTGTACGCGAATCGTTTGAAAATTATTCGTTGGTGGGTTTTTGCGCGAACAGAATTTCGATAAAGGTCCAAATATGCGACATACAAATGTAATTCAACCTACCGATAAGATTGTATTGATCTACATCGCGGTTATTGTCATTATGGGCATTTTATTCTATTTATAGGAATATTATTTATGTATTTCGGGACCGAGAAACTCTTTTGAAAATTATTAAAAATAAAATTAAAACTGGAACAACAATTTATATGGTCACCAATGAAGAACGTACTCAACATTAAATCATCACGGATTCAATCATCATCAAATAGTTGACCGTTTAGAATTTTTTATTGATCAGGAAACCAGAGCACACACTTAACAAATCAAAATATGATATTAAAAAGAATGAGCCGTCTCCTTTGCCAGATAGACAACTCCAAGAAGAGTGGTGGGGATCGTGCCAAAATCCAAAAACTATTTTTAAGATAACTTTTTGCTCCATATGAAAAAGACGTTTCATAACAACACGAACTGAAACAATACAGTTGTTGACGACACTGAGAAGTGGAATAAAAAAAAAAAAAAAGGTTAGTCAACATTATTCGTGTTTTACATTTATGGCGTACTGGACCGTAAATCAGGGTGTAAGTCGCATATTGGACCGTAAATAAGGATGTAAGTCGCATATTGGACCGTTATTGGAACGTACTGTCTGGAACATTTCTCGGCTAGCGCAATCCGAACCGTCTAGAAACCGTCCAGTGCCGCTCAGGATTCCGTGAGTTCAACAATTACGGCAGCGTCCGATAAAGTAACGATGTACCGAGAAAAAAAAAAGGTGAGCGTAATATCGGATTCATTACACGTGTATCAAAGAAATTGCACTCGCCATTGCGTTTGAATAATGAAAAAAACTCTCAGATTCAAATAATTCTTCGATCGTTTCATTTAATTGTTTTTCTCTTAAAGGCTAGTTCAGACCATGCCAGTAATTTAGTCAAGTAGCAAGTATATTAATAACTAATCATGTATGAACAGATCGATTTAGTCGAGTAGTTTAGTAAAGTAATATAGTTTAGTTAATCTATTCTATTCTATTTTTTTGGTCGAGTAGCAACCCCCTCTTTTCCAACTGATAACTATTATTGATTTTGATAATCACTTTTCACAGCACCAAAACGACTCCTAATATAATAAAACAATTTTAAACTCTAATTGTGTCTGAACACTTTTCAGTCACTAAACCGTTTAGTAGTTAGTAAATCACTAACCACTCGACTAAATTACTGGCATAGTCTGAAGTAGCCTTAACGGTTATTGGTATATGCTTTGTAATTGTAATAAACGATATTTTTTTACGTGAAAAATTTAATACCTGTGGAGTTTCTTTTTTTTTTAATAATATCAAACGAACGTGAATCGGTAATGGTATAATCATTTAATATTATTATTAATTATCGAATGTAATTCGACTGACTTCAAATCAATGATGACCAATGATGATAATATAAACGTATACTAGCTGTGGAACCTCCATTAGACAGGAACGTAAAAGCCATTATTCAATAATTAGAATTATTATTATGAGCATTGTTCAAAGGTTTGATGAACAGTTACATTTTGACAAGGCTCTTATGGATAGTAATAGTGCTATGTAGCTACGAATTCAAATTATATTTCGCTGTATCGTATAATATTATAGTGACTACATGTGCATTAAATGCACACATTGTATAATATTTACATATTTAATATATATTGTATATATTAAACATTGAATCAAAAAATAAATTAAAAACTCACAAATTATTTAAGAAAACTTATGAAAATAAAAGTAAAAAACTTATTCCATAATGTATTTTACTAAATTGTTATATTTTGGAATATATTTGGAAATATAATTTAATCAACCCAATGTAAGTTACTTCAAAGTATATTGAATTTGTTATTATACAATCAAATAATATCTAATAGTAGTTCAGTTTGTTAACAAACTAAATAACTTAAAACAATATAAAATAATTATTGAAATTTTTTGATGGTTTTAAAATATTTATATGAAAATTTAACAGTTTTTTTTTTTTTATTTTTTGTGATAAGTGGGTTTAAGAAAACAATTAATGCCATAGATTATGCCTAAATGTATGATTCGGGTAACGAATGAATGAATGATTTTAACCTGGGAATTGGAAACAAGGCCAGTCTAGTAAATTTATGAGCAGTTTTAACTAAATAACCTCGGGGACGCATTGGGATCTTTTGAGTAATCTATATAACATATATGAACCAAATACCAATAAATCAGCACTGTGCCCATAGAACGTTAATTAAGAAGTAATTCCTTAGTAATTTAACAGATAAATAATACAATTCATATATAGTACATTTATTGAGTTATTATATGTAGTAATTTAATAAAAATAATCATGAGAAAACGTTAAAGTGGAAATGTATGTCCAGTACAAAAAAAATAAATAAATAATATGCTGTAACCAACTAGGAAAACAATAACACAATTAATTAAAAAGTATTAATCGTGAAATGTTGGTTCTTACATTTTATGAGTGAGTTTTAAGAAAGTGTGGGGGCACCTAAAATGTTGTACAATCATGGTCTTATGCATCATTGAATTATCATTGAATATATCCGGTGAGGAACTTGTAAATATTTTTAATTCAGAATGCATGTTTTTCTGTTTCCTATGATGCTGAACGAATAAAAAAATAATAAACTTTTTAATTATCTTTCTGCTAATTACAATTGCAACAAAATACGACATAATACTTATTTAAATAGATAATTAATAAAAAAAAATACTACAAATATAATAAAAATGTCAAAAATTATTGAATGTTCAAAATGTTCGATAAACATGAATTAGAAAGTAAAAAGATGTAAACCTATTTTCAAATAAATTATGAACATATCTTAAACTGAAAATCAATTAAATTGTTGTGATATTTTATTTTTTGTTCAGGGTTCACAAAGATTTTGTTTTTTAATATGATAACCTACCTTTGCGTTCAGTTTTGAATTGACAACTAATAATTTTCTCTGACAGGAATAAATGGAGCAAATACTCAATTTAAAATTTACAGGCCAAATTAAAATATTTTATCTTACGTAAATACAATTCATAATTATATATTTATAATTATCTGTTCAAAATTAAATTTTACACGTAACCATTATATATCCGGTAAATTATTATTCTTTGTATAAAATTCAACGATAATAAATGTTAAAATGTTACGTATGTCTCTTAAAATATTTTATTTGGCCAAATATTTGTGATATCATTGTAATATTAGATACTCAAATATCATACGGATGCTATGGACTAGAAAAATTCATTATATTTTAATATTATAGAAAAATATCTGTAATATAACGTTTGCAAAATAGTACGTCTATTTTCGAATATTATATTTATTTATATTTTTATATTTCTATATATTTTCAAAACATGCTATTGGTCATAAGCAGTGACCACCAACGTTTTTTATTCTTTGAATAAGCGGTTGAACTATCTTATTTTCGGTTTATTGGATTTGCACGTAAGCTTTCATAACTTTCAGTGACATTCATCCAGATGTGAATTAAAGAGGAGTAAAGTCCTTACGGATCGCATTTCACGCCACAAAAATTGTATTTTATACTACTATATTTGATTCTCTATTTTTCTTTTTCTTATTTTCTCTAGCAGTTTTTTTTATTTTTATTTTTTTTTTTTTTTTATTTCAGTGTCTTTCGTGACACTTGATCCAGCAATAAAACCATGGCTCCTTTTACTTGTTAAAAACTGAACTAAAAACCAGCAGTTAAAACTGTTGTTATAGTTTCAAATGAAAAGCAAACTAAATGCATTTACGGGGGGATGAAAATCAATTGCAAATAAGATTCAAATACTTTGTAATTTCCCAAATTGCTGACGACACAAGGCAGCGAAACGTCTCTTCCCACGGGTATCGTAACGTTCGGAATAGGCTCAGCGAACTGGGGTTCCAACATCGATAAAACTGTAACATAAAAAATAAAAAAATTACATATTATATATTTTGTTTGCATACGCATACGTCAATTCTGAAGTAATTTATTTGTGGAACAATTGTAAATAAATAAATGATCATAAATAAAAAAAAAATGCAACCGACAGCTGTTTTTTTTCTAAAAAATCTATTCAATTTTAATAAAATATTTTCTGTACAGTTATAAAATCGATATTAAATAGTTGTTTGTATAGATTAACGATTTTTATTTTAAAATTACATTTTTTTTTTTTATTGTTTTCAATTTTTTTATTTTTTTTTTTATTAGTCAAACACATTTTTTGCTGGATGAATTTCTATAGAATTAAGTGGTACCAATTAATTTTAATCCATGGATTACATAATATTTTTATCTTTATTTTTGTTTCCAAGAAAAGCTAAGAAAGTTTTGATTTTATAATTATTTAGAAAACTCGCTCCATAAATTACGTCCGTTTTTAAAAAAATAATGATTTTTTTAGTGTTTTATTTTTATAGAATTTGAAATTTTTTTATAATGACTACATGCAGTAATAGCTAAGTTAATTTCAATGAACTGAAATCATATCTAAAGAGTCTTAATAAAAGTTTTTTTTGTTTAACAATTAAAAATTACTTATTCATTAGTCTATACTTTGTATAGCCATCAACAAAGTTTTATTTAGAATAACTTTACAAATTCGATAATTTATCACTGATAAAATTCTATAGTTATATATTAACTTGAAGTCAATCGTTTTTTTTTCTTTTTTTTTAAACAATCTCAATATTTAATAAATTTACCTTTTTTTGATTTCATAAACAATAGTGGCAATTATTATACTTTATAAAGACAGTCATATTTTAATATGCATTTTTTCACTTTGTTGTTTACAACGTGGTTTTTAATTAAAAAAATACAACTTTCTAAAAATCATTAGTTATTAATTTAATATACCATTTTAAATTAATTTTTCATTTAAATCAGACACTAAAAACATTTTCCCAAAAAATCGTGTTATTCCCATTCGTCAAGGAAATAATTGAAATAAATTCAGATTCTCGTCTACTGTGAATATTTGAATATTTAAGTATCAAATGTCTCCACCATTGGATACAAAATACGTATTGGTAGTTTAACATTGTTTTCTCGCTGAGCAGATTATAACATTACATTCGAGTTCAAGCAAATTTACCTTTTAGTCTTTTTTTGTTACTAATGAGCAGTGGTGCAATGAAGGATTGTTCATCATACGCGATAAAGATTATGTTATTATAAGCATTTCATGTTGAAAAAATAATAATCATAATTACAATAACGATAAAATGTAGCGAGAAACGACGGCAGTGACGAGTTTAAAACGTAGGTCTTTTGTATAGCGATGATAATACATTAACTGTGATATAAGTGAATTAATATAACTTAGACGTCTATCTGTCGAAAACCAAGTGTATTCTATTGTTACCTTCATGAATGCTGCTAGTAAAAAAGAAGATTAAAAATTAATACAATATAATTGTTGAGAAACCACTAACGATAATTATACTAATAGTAATAATAATACGAATAAAGGATGTCTCCATTTACTGTCATTTGTACAATATAATTGTCTGTCTATATAATTGTCGAACATGTGGGTGGTTATTTTTCAAATACACACACACACACACACACACACACACGCGTACTTAATTGTAAACGTACGTGAACTTTGCTAAATTTTTGACTGGCAGTGTTTTAGACAATAAAATGTATGGTGAAATATTATTATGGCGTTTCTCAGCGCCAAACGTATTATGTAAACGAACAATTAATTATGTGAACGAATCTGTAAACACCCGAAAACTACTACTCTGCGATCGACGGCGGAGGTGGAAAAAAAAGTCGTGAAACATCAGAAGGACAAGACTAATAATTCCACGCCCGGTCCGAAAAAAAGAAATCGACCGTTTCGGCGTGACAAGTACGGTTTACTTGACGCTATTATCTCCTTCTTTTTTACCCTTAGAGATCCGCGGCATTCACGTTAAGCGTCCAAGATGCTTTTTATGTTCGCGCTCCAACTACGCTAAATTCAAAGTTCGAATGTTGTTAAAATATATGAAAAAAATGCGTTGTTGAAATTGTTTTTTTTTTTTTTTATTCGAAAACCTATGGCTTCAACGATAATTTTTAAAGGGTTTCACGTGCCACAATAGGTAAAGAACCACTACTAATATATACGATTATTATATCGAACCACAGTACAATCTTCTTCTGATTAATGTATAAATCGCTTGCTTTTCCTGACTCCGCTATCGAATCGTTACACATTTTTCCGTATTCGTATTTTCTCGCCCGATCGCCCGTAATTATAATATTTTGATTATTAAAACCAAGACCACGGTTGTTGTCGTTGTAAATTCTGCGTTTTCGTACAAAACCTGGTCGTTAAGTCCACTGATCCGACGTATACTGGAGATAGAATTGAATGATTGACAGACCCGCGATGACGTATTTTTGACTAAACATATTATACTATTTTATAACTGATTACACTGATAGCCCGAGCCAAAGTGTTTTTAAAGTTCCGAACAAAAATATTTTGTTGGTAATAATTGTTCATTTCAAGTGTACTTCCAGCGTGCGTTATTACTAATGAGTAATATTGAAAATCACAAGATAATCATAATAAAACTGTTATGATAATTATTATTATACATTACAAATATGGAAATTTTTTTGATCTATAGTAAAGATAACAACAAAACAACTTAAATGACGTTTAACAAATGCTAAATGTTTGCGATTATAAGTTCATCATAAAATAACTATTTCCAACGAAATAAAATGGAATTGTACGTAGTCTTATGTACACATAAATGTTTAGCTGTTTTACGTTAGTAAATTATATTAAGTAATATATATATATATATATATATATATATATATATATATTTAATTAAGTAATCATGATATTATGCCAATGTCAGTTAAGTTTTTTTTTGTAGTGACATTTTAAAATACTACCACTATATCTTATTGTTTGGAAAGTCCTATAAGTCTGTTCATTATGCTACGAGTACATGGATCAAAAATATAAATAAAACATTTAAATCTATATTAATAATTACTATAAATATATACACAATTTATAAATATTTTATCTTGGGACTTTACAAGAAAAAAAAATCATTAGTAGTTCACCGAATTTTGCATTAATATTCAAGATACATTTTTATATCAATCAACGTGGTATATTAATGTGATTTTATTGTTACAATCAGGGCTTGAATTTGAAAAAGAAATTTCGTTTTTTCGTTATTTATAATTATAACGTTACAAATTTTTTGTGTTTTACGTTATTTAAAATCATAACGTTATTCATATTTTGCGTTTTATGTTATTTTGATATATAACGTTTTCAATTTTTGTATTTTACATTTTCTTAGTTTCAACGTTACATTAAAACGTTATTATTACATGGGATTTAGAAAGTAATTTTTTTTTCTGTATCCTTACCTCAGAAGTTATACAGAAAAGTATTAATTGTGGCTTGGTTGTGACCAATGGTTTTCAGTTTTCACTAGTATTAAAAAAATACTGATCTAAAAACATATTAAAATAGTATTTCATATTGTAAAAATTTAAAAAAAAAATATTTCTCATTTACTTATTTCTAAAAAGTGACATGATAAAATGAAAAAATTTAAATAAAAAAATTTCTTTAACATTTACAAAAAGAAAATTATAGAACATTATATTCCTCTTTATGAAATAATTTTAAATGATTTTTTACATGATTTCTTGTCCGTTTTGGATGAGAGCATTCATTTATTTGGCAAATACCATTATTAGTATTCACATTATACTCAAAATAAATTTGTTGAACGGGATTTTAAATCTTTCTTCCCATGTCTCCTAAGTCCTAATGATAAGAAAAATTAAAATTGTCCAAGATCTAGTTAGAACTTGAGTTATTTTATTAAATATAATAAAAAAAGTAATTCGTAAAAATTATTTTATGTAATACACCTACTATTAAAATATAATATATTATATTTATACGTACAAACTATCAAAATAGTTGGTTATCACTTTTCCGTCGACAATGATAAAATAATAAATACTTTCACCATGACAATAGTAAATTATTACTTATTATTAACACTTAAATTGGTAGATAACTAAATACAAGTTTACAGCTAAAGAATAAAATAGAATAGTTACCAAATAGTGAGTAACGAACACGATTAAAGAAATCGAGTTGACGATTAATAATTATAATATCAATAGGTTAGATAAATAAAAAAATTAATTAAATATCGATTGATTAAATATTTAATTTATAAGATTAATATTAATAATAATTAATATCTAATCTAATTTTCATGAGTTTTACAGACAAAATCCTTCCCCAGCGATATACATAGCTAAATATAAATACTGGAGCGGCCGAATTTAACGGATAAATAAGTTTAAAAAAAATCCAATAATAAAATAGATGTCAAAATAAATTCGAGTACATATCAAATTATTTTATATACCAATTTTTTTCAATATAAATCGGTTTTGCATTATTTTGTTTTAGGTTATGTTATGTTTGTTGATATTTTATATATTTTATTTTGCGTTATGTTATGATTAATTTTACTCTACATTGTTTTTGTTTATCATTATAATTACGTTTCCCAATTTCAATCGTTTTTTTTTTTTTTTTATTTATAATGTCATAATCATAACGTTATAATAATGTTTGCAAGCTTTGGTTATAATCAAAACTCTTTAACATAATATACATAGTAAAAATTGCGTTCTATATTTTATAATGCATTTAATTTAAATTATAAAATATATCCGTAGTTCGAATTTGCATCACCTTGTTTACGAGATGCATATACTTAAGTACCCCCCCTACCAACATAATTGTATGAAATAAAATATTCTGAAAAAGTCGAAAGAATTTATTTTTCAATTTAAATTTCAACAACAAGACCTAGATAATTGTTGAGCGGTTTTAATAGTTTTACAT